AGGGTAACAATATTCTGCCCCTCAGAGTTGAGTCACCTTTGAGACAAGTGCCAAAGGTGTCTGCAGCAAGGATTAACAGGAGCTGCAGCTCAGGCGAAACATGTTGCCCAGCTCTTGGTTCCAGTGGAAAGCAGGAGAGCAGGAGATCAGTGCCTTGCCCTGCAGAAGCAAGACACTTCCAGTGAGGTAATCAGTCAGCTACATCTTGATACTTTGGCAATATCTGCTCTCCTGATGGGATTTTATTAGTACATTTAGCCTCTAATTTATTAAAAAAAAAAATTACAGTTGGATGTCCCACCCTAATCTCACAACTCCAGGAATATTTTTCAGACTGTGCTTTAACATTTATAATCCCAGCTGAACAGACTATTTGGGCTACAAAATATGAATCTGTATCAAAGCTTTCATGGAAGCCCAAATGGAGGATTTTGGACTGAAGTCATCTCAGATTAATCTGAAAACAAACTGAATATCATATATCTACCATCTGTAGGTTATATCAATGCAACACTCTCTTCAAAAATAAAACAGTCATTTAAGCAAGCTTATTACTAGTTACTATAAAATCTATTTAAAAAGTCCTGCTTATAGACGTCTTTCAGATGAAAATTTCCTCTTGAAAAAAACACCTTACATTAGACTTCCTAACTCAGATTGCAATAAAGCAATCAGTTGTGTAATTAGTTCCAAATTCCCATTCACTTGAGAAGATGTGAAATAACATAGCACTATGAAGTGGATGACACTACCTGGACTCCTAGGTTTGCCACTTTGTAAGGGTGAGGCAATCTATGCCTTCCCATAGATGAAAACCATTTGTGTTTCAACTATTTTGAACAGTAGGTGCCTGAAAACTACAAGCAATAGAAGACAGACCTAAACTTTAGAAAGTACATAGCTTTTCATTTACATTGGATTGCTGGATCTTTAAATGAATATGCTTATAAGCACAGTTTTGGACAGGAATAACTTTACTGACTCAGGATAAACCTCATACCACTGCATTGATCCTATTTCTTCACGTTGGCAAGGCCTTATCATTTCCCCAATTACATCCGTTTGCCAAAATAAACAATATCAGGAAGAAAGGAGGCAGCGATCTGAAAAATGGCAAACATAATAATGTGTATTTTTTCAGGCTGTGACAGTGTGTACACAATTTCAGAAGTCATTTTAGCTCATATACTTGTTTTTATTAACTTAGGTGAAAATAATTTTTTGGCAGAAATATGATATATTTTGAATTTTGCTTTAAGTGGATACTTCTTGTCACTGTTTTCCCATCTTCATAATTCACCAAATTTGCAATATGGTAGCACGCCAACACAGAATATACCTATTATAAATGAAGTTAACTGAGTGTGGACATTTTAGTCGACAGAGACTGGTGGGTAATTAATCAGTGTTATTACATGCAACCAGGTAAATCCTACAAGCTCTGCTGCCAGCATGCCTACCCCTGGCACACCAGCTAGACTCCAGACTTTTCAGTACCCCATACATTTCCATTCTGCAGAGTGCTCGCTTGATGGCATTTTAATGTGTCTTTGTGTTTATGTCACTTCTGTCTCCATAGGGCAGAACCAGAAAGCCACAGCAGTAGATCTGAAACTTTGTAGGACATAGATGTCTTCATGTTTATTTACTAATAGTGCTTTAGTATGGTATTTGCTATACCATGGCAAACACTTGGGGCTTTGTTACCACAACATCCTAAATTAGGGGGGAGGTAGTTTGTATTTCCATAAGGTTTCAGGGCAAAATATGTAAATTCACCAGATTTCAGTTTATTCCTTTAAAGAAAACTGTTTTCTTCTGGTGACACTTCTTACAATCACAAGTACTGAATTTTGAGTTGAAGGTTGTTAAAAGGAAGGAGTAGCACAAGGATGATGCAAATCTTAGCTGAATCATACTGTTAACTTGAGAATTTTCCTGCTTGTTTGGGTATAGTTTAACTTCATTTAGTCTGAAATCAGTCAATACACTGACAAGCTGAATGCATTACTATTCAGAGAAAACACATTTTTTATTGATCAGAAACCACTTGTACATTTCTTGTCAACTTGAGAGCTCAAACCCAGAAAGGTGCTTTTTAAAACACCAGACTTTCTGCAAAGGGAAATAACATCCACCAGCAGTTTGAAAGGAGTAGTTTTCGCATCTGCCCTTGCAAAGGAGAAGAGCTTATCTTGGTGATCAAGCTTTCAAAACTTTAGAGAGAAATAGAAGTCCTTCTTTTGTATAGAATCATAGAACCATTTAGGATGCAAAAGACCTCTAAGTCCAACCATTAAGCCATCACCAAATGATGTCTCTAAGTGCCATGTCTACAGATCTTGTAAATATCTCCAGGGACAGTGATTCAACCACTTTCCTGAGCAGTCTCTACCAATGTCTGATGACCATTTTGGTGCAGAAATTTTTCCTAATATCCAATCTAAACTTACCCTGGTGCAACTTGAAGCCATTTCCTCTTGTCCTGCCACTCATTACTCATGAGAAGAGAACAACACCCACCTTACTACAACCTGCTTTCAGGTACTGTAAAGAGCGATAAGGTCTCCCCTCAGCCTTCCCTTCAGAACAACTCTAGTTCTCTCAGCTACTCCTCATAAGACCCATGATCCAGACACTTTACCAGCTTCATTGCCCTTCCCTGGACATGCTCCATCACATCAATGTCCTTCTTGTAGCAAAACTTTGGAGAATCAAAGTCTTTTCTTGGCATATTATTTACCCATGAAAGCCACCTACTAGTATTAATGGGAACTCTGCATATTTAGCACAGCTTCAAACCAAGATGGTACATAAAATAGCAATGTATCGATTTTCTTCTAGGATGAAAAATGCTAAAATATTTTTTATGCACCATTCCAATATGTATGTCTCTCATTTTTCCTCCTCTAGCCACTTCTTATATATCAGTCCCACTCCAATCATTAAAAATCATTAGTGGCTTTTTCTCACACTAAGATTTGTACTTCCCATCACTGAAAATACCTGTCTTGATGCTCTTCAAAGGCATCGCCCTGAAAGTAGATCAAAGTAAATCCATAACAGAAAGAACTGTCAATAAAGAAACATGGAAGTCTGCACCTTCTGATGCCATTGGTGTTTTCTGTATTCAAACATGATTTCCTACGTAATTTAGAATATCACTCCCTCATATGACATCCTGTGTGAAAGGCAAAGTACTCAACAGTAGCAGCTCAAGAGAAAGTCTGCAATATTTTCTGCTTAGAGAAAGCTCTGTACGTACTCTGAAATCCAATATTGGGCCTTTTTTTTAACCCAGACTCTGAAGGTCCTTTTCCATTCTACACTGAGGCAGAAGTAAGTTCCTTGCAATCAGATTTTTTCATTTCAAAAATTAACGACTAAGATAAAGTGGCATTTTATCATAAATTTTATCATAAAATGAAATTTTATCATAATTTTTTAATAATTTCATCATAAAATGAAATTTTATCATAAAATGAAGAATCACACTATTTAAAAAAGATAAATTACTAAATGAAAACAATAACCTCGAGACCAAATTAATTGACACTTAAAGTAAATAAAAATATAGGAATTTAAAATTAATAAGAAAAAATAGTAAAAAAGAAAAAGGGACTTCACGAATGATGCATATGAAGAGCGTTCGACGTATTCTAGCAAAATGGTATGAAGCACATATTTCCTCTCCTTAAGAAACTGTTATTGCTATCTGGTGCTAAAAATTTTGAGTTGATATCCCCACAGACAAATAGTTCAGATTTTTAAAGCCATTTCCCCTTTCTTTTCCTAATACAAGAGAAAGTAATATCAAGGGTTTAGAGAAGTTGTGAGCATTTCAGCTCCTTGGCACTAGAAATCGTCCATTCTCCTACACTGACCTCTAGGTGGCACAAAAGAACCTAAACTAAGCAAGTCTTTTCTGATTTTTCAATTAACGTTATGGTCTCCCAATCAGCCTCATCAAGTCACCAATTATGACATCATAAAGCACACATCTATAATCTATACTAAATAAAGTATCAAATAAGTACTAAAGTAACAGCTACTATAACTAGATAGCTCTATTTTATGGCTTTTAATGGTACATTGAGATATAAATCATTAATTGATTCTCCACAGCACATCTAATTTCCTTTCTCCTTCAACTTATAATACTTCAAAGGAACAGTACGTTTACTAGAAACAAAGTTAAGGTTTACATCTAGTTTAATGTAAGGATTACTACAACATTAAAAATACGTACCAAAAAAACCAATTTGCAATAATCCAGAAAAAAAAAAGCCCAAAACAGTAATGAGCAAAATACATCCATTACTTAATATTTTTTTAGATTCTAATATGTGAAAAAGGGTCAGTGAAATGACAGCAAATCAATATTTACTGTAGCAGTAACTAGAAATGCTGCTCTTTTACTTAACTGACGTAGCTGTTGTTATGAACTATGTCCTGTCTGACCAGAGAGAATTTTTATATTAACAGTCCTATATTATGCACAGCACATGAAGTAACCCAGAAACCCTAAGCCCTTAAGGCTAAGGGCTTGTATGCCCTTAAGCATACAAGAATGACACCACAAAAGCATAGTTAAGACCCTATAACATCACAGCTCACAGCATTTATTTTCCTCTATCAAAAAAAAGAAATAAAATAAGCATCTGTACACTGCCCTTGTATCAATGCTGCCATCTATGTCATTTATCTCCCATCTTAGCCAAATCATTCACACTCAAATCTCAAGAACACTTTGACCAAAACCAAAATCACCTTCTCCTCCTAACCTGCTCCAGCTCTCTGCATGGAATTGTCCGGGCTGGACTTTCACCACTCTGTCATTCAAAACCATTCTGTCTGAAATGTTTTGCCTCCCAAGAGTGAACGTGAAGCTATGTGTAAAATTTGTCAAAGCGTTATGTGGAAGATCATTTGCACCAACATGTGATAACAGGGCACTGCATCGTGTGCCCACAATTAAACAGGAAAGGAATTTCTCTCACCTGGCATAGAAATCTTTCGGTGGAACAACCTCCTGAAAGAACTGTAGCTGGTACAGATAAAGTCCAATCAAGTGTCCTGCACTGAATATAGCCATTAATACACACAGACAGCTGAATATCAGCGGATCAAATGCTTGGCAACAGGACCACCACGTGCACAGACCCAAAAATACAAAGAAATACACAGCTGAGGTCAAAGATGGCACCATCATACCTGTAAAAATAAAAGCATGCAGGGTTAGAAAAGTGTGGGAAATCTCAACATTTGTTACACCTTAAGTTTGAAATGAAGTATATTAAAAAATGTAGCCCAGTTAGTGTTTATCCTAATTATTACAATTACTTCTAAAGACTGCTATTAACTTTGAGACTAGAAGAGTAGGATCTTATGTTTTGTTTAATTCACTTTTACAATATCTTAGCACTTAGAACACAAGCACTCTCCAGACTTTCCTCCAAGAATCTTCTCTACGTAAAGACGTTTCATAAAGCAAGGAGAAAAACATAAAGGTGGTTGCAAGGCCAGCCAGCACAGCCTGAGATCACCTGTGTATGAATTTTAAGTACAAGATACTAAAATGTCATGATGAATTAACAGTGAAAAGCCTTCTCATACAGATCTTGAGATATCTTGACTTATTAAAACAAAAAAATGCCCTCATATACTGAAAGAGATTTAGAAAAAATCTACAGAATAATCAGTAAATGTTGGATTTTTTTTTTCCATTGTTAACTCCTAGAAACTTCTTATTTACACATGACAAACACTATTCTGTCTCACACATGTATATTGCTTTTGCTCTTGCTGAGTGTTGCACTTGTGAAAATGTCTAACTGTTGAAGGAGACCTGATGCCCTGAGGGTAGCCCACAAAAATAGGTTAGGAAGCAGGAAAGGCATTCATATCTAAGAGGAGCAACTACGAGAAATCGACATGATTGCAGACAGCAGAGCAGCCCAGAGAACTCTCTAAAGAAATGATAACAAAGCTAGCAGGGGTGCCTGCCTCAATTTATTTTTAAGCTTTTTACTAGTACATATCCAGGAGCCCCCTTCCTCTGGACAGACCTGCAGGCTCCTCGTGACCCATAAGGCCCTGCAGCTGAGCCCTGTAACTGAGCCAGCCACTCCAGAAGGAGCATTTGCCCCTTGCCAGGTGCTGGATTGATGTGTCTTTTGGGGGCAGTGCTCCAAGGCTCGGTCCTTGGTTGAGCTGAGTCCAGGCACTGTAAGGACTCATATCCACAGTCATTTTCCTGAGCTCCACCATCACATCTTTCACATCATGCTTTAGACCAAGTCTTTAACCTATGGTGCTGTAAATGCAGCAATTTCTGCCTTGAGCCTGAAACTATTTCCTTCCTTCTTTCAAAGAGGCACTTTGTCTTTATTTAAACGCTTCTGGAGAAGGAGATTTCTCTATATCCTAAACTAAGTTTTTATTATGGTCAATTACTCTGGCTGTGAAAAATTCAAAATTTATTTCTGGTCTGAAATTGCCTAGGTTTACCACCTAAGTGTTGGCTCCTATTATCACTTCTACTAGATGAGGTATCTTAAAAAAAATGGTATCACTTTGTCAGTACTTTCAGGCTGCAGTTAAATCACCCTTCATCTTTTTGGCATGGCAAGTAAGGAAGTATTTAACTTATTAAGCTCAAGGTCTCTCTCTGGAATACAGGCTTCTCAGACCTCAAGTCCTTTTTGTAACTCTACTCTGAACAACCTCCCGGTTCTTGGCTTGCTTTGGAGCTCCACAGGCAAGCTGCCCATCAACATTCAGAAGAAATTGTTCCCTGTTTGCTGCATGATCCTTCTATTTCACCCTCCATGGATGATGTTCACCCATGCAGAGTGGCACTAGGTCTTCTCTTTTTGTTTGGTTTTGGGGTTTTTTTTTAATCACATCTCTCTTCCCTCAAGTCAGGCCTCATGGCGATACACGTATTTTTTTTCCTTTTTAGATTTCTTTCTTTGCATTTGGCTACGCGTAAGGCTGCTAGATAATCTTACCTTAAAGAGAGTGTCTGCCTTACTAAAGGGGCCACATCTGACCAGTCCCTGTCATTCGGTATCAGACCTTTTTTGTACTCTTGTTTTATACTTCATAGACTGGTATATTTATTCGTTTAGTATACGGTTTGTACTTTTACTTTATATGTAAACGCTCCATTAAAACATGTGAGCCAGCAGATGAAAACTAATTTACAACTCCATGACCCAATTTTGAATTCAGTAATTACAACCTACAGCGATTTGTACACTTCCATTCTGGCTGTAGCTGATTACGTGGTACTAAGTCAAAAGCGTTATAAAAATGTTGTCTCTATCCTATCAAAACAACTACTTTTACTGACTACATTGAAAACCAACAGGAAGTCTGCTTATTAGTCTTTTTACACACTACATGGTCAACTGAATAATTTTTGATTTTTTTCTTTAAGGTTATATGAACACAGTTCCTTTTTATACTTGAAAGTGATGGAATCAAATCTATAAATTGACTTTAAAAAAATAAATATATATACAACAGTCACTAATAATATGCCCCATTCACCATTTGATTATAACAGCAACTGTGAAAGTCATAAACAGAATAACTGGTCAACACAGTATCAGTACAAAAACATTAAGCAACTCAACATATCCCAACACCTGCCAAAAATTCAATTTAAATAAAATCAGTAGCAATTTCTTTTCCCTTAAAAATTTCCATTGTTACTCCCACAGGTACCAAAGTGCTGAAACTAATTTGTTAAATGCATAATCTAATGGGCTCCTGAGGAAATTTTTCAAATGCACCAACCTGCTGAACCAAGTAAAATTGTAACAACAACTTTCCCAGTGGTGATTATCATATTGCCAATAAACTCCCTCAGTTTGGATGCTAGGGAGGCGATTCTACGCAGCAGTTTTAATTTCATGGTTTCCTCAAATTCTGCTTCTCCACAGTCTTCGTCATCCAGATCTTCATCATACATCAAAGCGTCATCTGGCTCTAATTTTTCTCTTGCAGCCTAAAGCAGAAGGAAGGAAAGAAAAATAGAATGCAAAAAACAGAGAGAGAGACACACAAAGGAATTTGAAATTAAAAACCGCACATATATTATTTAATAATGAAGTCTTCTTATAACCTTTGATTATCTCAAGTAATGAGAGCTAAGAAAGATGCACTAAGCCCGAGTTGTGCACTGATGGCTCCCACTTCAGATCTTCCTCAAAATAAAAGGATATTAACCACTGTCTCTGAGAAAAGCTGCAATCCTCCCACATGTGCGCAACATTCTGCTTCTTCATTTTTACATGAAATTTGGTTTGGTTAGTTCAGCATTCTTAGCAAGATAAGCATGTTGTTATCCTCTATCTTTTAAACACCTCTTTGCTCCAGTGGCTTCAGTTATAAGCTCCAGTAAGCACAAGTCCCTTCGTGGTTGATGTTGCTCAATAAATCTCACTTTTCAAACCCTTTTGCATTAACCCTTTCCCAAACTTTAAGTGCAAAATCTAGAATGGGGGGAGTAGGAGTGACCTAGGACAGGGCAACAAGGCCTAAAGTAAATGGACAGATAGCTCATTTGTGACTGAAGTTTGAGGAAAAAAAATACACTAAGCAGAGAATTGGGGAGATAGTGAGGAACGGTGAGATTGACTGACAGTGAAAGAAAAGGTGAAAAAATGAGCAAGAGAGAAGTAGTGAAAGCTTGAGTGACCTACAACAATTTAGCAGGGAAAATGAGATCAGTGGTTTAGAACTACACAATGGAAAAAAAGAAGAGAAGGAAACATGTAAAGGCCTGTCATACTTAAGCAGTTTGTTAGGATTTGGCAGTGGCTTTCACCATCAAGTCTCCATCGTATCTTGGAGACCAGAAGACATACACAGCTATTGAGTGATGCAGACTAAATCATCAACCCACAGTGAGAATCTGCAGGATTAGCAAGAGGCCCCCACAAAGACAAAATTTATGGAAAAATTAGTCATTCACAGAGATGTAGGGGCATATTAAAAAAAAAAAAAAAAAAGAAAAAGAAGTAATAGTTTTGAGCCAGGTTCTCATTTGGTGTAATACGGAATAGCTTCTTTGGCACTAATTTAAACTTGAATTAGCTAACGTTAGTTCTGGCCAAGCTGTATCACTGTGTGTGAAAGCAAGAAAGAGAGACTATTGGTATTTTTCATCAGAATAGCAGTTTTATATTTATTGGTGACCTTTGGCAGAAAAAATTCCACACTGACAGATAAGACTGCAGTGGGAACACATGAACCCTCAGACGACTTAACCAAATTCTTCTGTACCATTACATTATGTGGATTCCCAAAGGAACAAAACTCCCTATGGACTCTTCCATTTCACCTTTAAGCTTGTTGCCAGCTATCTCCTCTTACTTTAGAGCATTAACATTTTTGTGAATGCCCAGGGAAAAGAAAAAAAAAAAAAGCCTGCTTATTCTCAAGAGTCTCTTTTTTATGGACAATGAAACATGTATTAAATACAGCAGAGGGCTGATCTGGGAAATCTACTTTTCTCTTTGACTTATCACCATTTCACTGGCTATACTCATTTCAAATGGAATACAGTAAATTTTCAATTGCTTTCTTATTGTCACCATTCACTCATCCAGCTCTCAACATATGAATTATTAGATCCTTATGCAAAACAATAGAGAGACAGCAGCCCAAACATGCAGTCCCCACATTTCGAGCCATGCAGCACAAAAAGGTTTTCTATCCATTCATCACTGCTGTTCATATCTATGCTCCTATCTAAAGGATATGAGCTTTCCTATCTAAAGGACAGGCAATAATAAATGTTAAATATTCAGGAACAATGCTTACAGGGGACTGAGCAATACATTCTGCCCTCACTTTCACCTCTTCATCTGTTTTAGTGAGAAAGTTAAATAATAGGCAAAAGTTATGATTATTTCTGATTGTGCTGTAATTACTAGATTAACCTGCTCCTCATCCAGTCCTTTTGGGTTCAATCCTGCTCCTCCTGGACTGGCTGTAATGCTCTGTGCCTTGAGTTTAATGTGACCAGTGAACAGTGAAACCTTCAATAATGTTGATATCCCAACCAAAGAGAATGAGTGAGACTGGCGGACATTTAAAGGTTGCTTAAAAACGGCATGCTTACAATAGACGGGTCTAGGTGATGGAGACCCCTGTTTCTTCAGCTAGTGCCTTCAGGTAAACACAGACTTACTTAAAAAATGTATAGGAATAATTTCAAAATAAATAAGTTATTTCATGGGAGGTTGTCAGGATTCACATCTCTTTGAATACTGTGAGTCTATGTTAAACATGAAGACATGATTCACATATTTATACATCTTATGATTGCTGACATAGCACTTAATTATACATAGGTAGGAACAGGAAATAAAAGTCTAAATATTAGACTTTTACAATATTTTGTAACAATAAATATTTTCCAAGCAGAAGCCGAAAATGTTCTCGTGGGAAAATTAAATATTTTTAAGTATTAATTGGAGGAAAACACAAATTACCTTCAAATAACAAAATAAAAAGGAGGACACAGAAGTAAAGACACCACATAAAAACATCCCACTGAAAGGTGGGACTTGATATCCTTTTCTGTCTCTTATCCCCACCTGCCTTCCAAGCCTCAGGTGCCATATGCCCAAATTCAGATCTTGATCTCCTCAAAATTGGTCTTTGGATTTTCTATCATAATTAGGATCATATTTTTTTAATTTTACCAGGCTAATCACTCTTGCTTAATTGATCTGAAGAACCTTTAGGTTACATTTTGCCTTAAGAGTTCAGTATTAATAATCTAGTACTGACACGTATGACATAGCATGCCCAGGGAGAAGCACTAGAGAAGAGACTATTTCACTGGACCAGGATACAACTGAAGCTGAGAAGGAGATGATGGTCCAAACTTTCTGTGGACTGAGGCTTATACCCTTCAAGCATAGCAAAAAGCTTACAGGTTGATGAGTTACCAAGCAAGTTAACTTTTTCTTGTTTTCCCCTTTTATTTATATATGAAAATATTAATTACAAGTTCAAGAAGAAAGTTAGGATATCACAAACATTCACAGGAAATGCAGAAAAACCTAATTCTGGTGTTACTGAGGTCATCAGATGTAGGAAAGAAAATTTCAGCATTCAGAACCCCAGCAAACACCAAACTGATTTCCTAAGTTTTCCTTTTAAAACTGCAAAAGTCTGTTTAGAGTTGGAGTTCTTCAACTGCTCTCCTCAGTTTAAGACAAGCTAGCAAATGGGGTTATCAACAACAAGCATAATACCTCACATAGCTTTTTCAGAACAGATGCACATTGGTTTGCAACTCTTCAGCACACCTGGAATTATCAATGATGGTTTCGAAGACCCAGGCTTTGCACCAACATACCACCCGTAAGAGGTGGGTTAAATTCCTCATCTCTCTCTTCCCTATCTGCAAGTTCTTAGCCTTATTCTGTCTTTTTCTTTCATGACCCAGTTGATGATTATTTAGCAAAAAGACGATAACAGTTAAACAGCTATAGATTTTAGGTTTTTTTTTTTTGTATATAAACATATCTGTTTGTAATTCAGTATCCAAAATGAACGGCCATGTTCCTTTCTTGAAGAAGCTGAAAGGCCATGATCCAGCATATGTCAAAAAGACAAACTTCGGATTCCCCCACTCTCATATTCACCACCCTCTAACTGGATTATCTGGGCCAGCTTTCCAGTTTCTCACATTGAGCACATTATATTGCTGAAGGCAGGCAAACAGTTAACAGTTTTTACATCCAACATAGTGATAATGTGCTTGTTGTTTTAACACTTTTTGATGATTAAATAGCCACACAAGTGTGCTCATCACAGAACACCATTACTCCAGTCAGACTGTTTCGCAAAGCTCTTTTTTACTACATGGATTAGTCTAAAGCTACAAAACCATGTTACATAGGCTACAGTTAGAAAAATACTTTTACTTCCATAATAAATTACCTATTATGCAATTACAGGATCCCTGTGGATGCTGATTAAATCAAATAAATTTCTCCATTCAAGGAGTATAGAGCATTTGTGAAGCCATAAACATGTGTTTCCATGACCTTTGCTCTGCCGAGCAGGGCCCCAGGACTTTCTATAAACAAACTAAATGCAGTTTAGGTTTTTTAGCAATCATGTGGAAGTCCCGGGAGTATTTATTGTACAACACTTTTTTAAACTGCCAAACGGAGATAGAGAACAGGCAAGGAAACAGTACAGCTCCTGTGGCAGCTATGGCAGCTACTATTGTGGCCAGGGCCAGAATGTCCATTAGCTACTTTGGGGGCTGCTTTTTCAACATCCAGCTTTTAAATGTTTCATCTGGTACAGTATAAACACTACTGCACAGAGATATCCTCTAGTCCCAGAGCTGTATTTACTAACAGGAAGCCTTAACTCCAACCTAAACCCCATTCTTGCTTCAGAACACTCTTTGCTTTGTACCTACATTAGATGGTATTGTGTCTGAAAACACAAATTTGCTCCTTTATTGACTTTTTGATTCTAGAGGAAACACAAAGCCTTCAAAAATTCAAATAATGACAGCAATACAATTTAACTAACCAGAACTTTTACAGCTAAGGATATGCAAGTCTCAGAATGGACGCAACTTCTATCCCTATGAATGCATTGCATTAATTATCGAGACCTCTCAAGCATGCACTGCTAAACTCACAAGAGTAAGTTCTCATGAGAGTTCAGGTGCTCCTTCCTTCCTGTTGGCTCATAAATGTAAAAAAAGCCCCTTTTCAGTATTTTGACATTTTATCACAGCCAGAACCAGGAAAGAAACAGAGAGGAGTGAGAAAATGAAAACTAAGCCTGAGTGAAGTTCACTAAGCCTTACCCAAACAGCTATAGGTACATAGGTTTGGCAGGAGGACAGAGTCATACATTGTGGTACACCATGTTACTTACTGCTGGTGATACCAGAGATGTGCTTTCATGATCTACATTATCTTGAAGGTGCATGGTTTGGCTTGCAGAACATAGAGTTGT